TTTTAACTCGATGTAATGGCTGCCTATATTGTTAACAATAATCAAAAGAAGGGGCAAATGGGGCCTTTCTTCGAGCCAACTATGGATGAGGTCGCTCTTCGCGGGCAAGCTGCCAGAGGGAGCACAAAGAGCATCATTGCACCCACCATTCCAGTCGTCTTCAAAGCAGTAGCGAGGCGCAAATCAGACGCGGTCACATCACCCCTCTTTGAATAAATGTACAAAACATAAATATTTGTTGCGTGTAAAAACAACATAAATGAGTGTTCAAAATTGAACAGTAAGACTTAGCCCCACCCTCGAGTAAGAATGAGTGTACAAAACATATATATTTTAAGTTCATGAATATGAGCTATTTAGTCGTAAAATGTTGTCTTCTTATAAAATGTTTAGGAATAAAAGAAAAAAAAAGAACATGCTATTCCTATGCAGGCGGCGTGAAGAGGAACACATTGGATCCTCTTATGAGCTCTAATAATGCAAAAGGAAGAAGAGAGACTCCAAATAAATCTGGGTGACATGTACTTGAGGTAGCGGTTATGGAAGTTTTACATCAAATGGCTAGTGTTTTAGTAAATAATTTCTTTATTTTTAGTTAGTAAATTAAATTTATTGCTAATTCTTAAATTCAGATCAATTATTATACCTCCATTTGGACCATATTGGTGCTGATAATAATGCACAATTTATATGCATCTATTATCTATACATTTATTTAAATGTAGAGCTTTATAAATGCTACAAAGAAAACATGTGTACCTTGATTGGCCATTACATCATTGCCATGTTTTAAGATATCAATTGCTTGCTAGATATCTCTTATATATAAACATAAAAACTCAAATTTAGGTGACTTCGGTCAATCTTGTTTTGAGACATCATTATTTAGTTAAATCATAACAAATATGATTTTTTAGGTAACCTTGACCACTCCATAGATAGCCTGGGTTGAGATCAGCTTCAAATCTCGACCACTCGTGGGTCGTGTGATGTCGTCCAACGTGTCCGCCGCGACCCAGCCCGATACCAACGCCGGCGAGGGACCCTGGCGCGTGTTCCCGCCGACTTTAGTGTGCGTCGACGGGTAGAACGTGCTCCAGCACATGTTACGGTTGTACGAGGACGCGCTCCACGCACTACAGCCTACAGGTTTACAGCTCAAAAATGTCTTGCTCCGCAGGTCTTTGCTGCAATCACGAACATATGCTTGAGATGGAAGCGCGCGGCCAGTGAATACAGCCACAATTCGCCACGCCGAGCTCTTGGTCGCATCCTCCGTGGAGAGTCCCGCACGCACCACCCAAAGTTCCACTTTTCCACAAACTGAAGAGCACGCGCTGGACGCCGTCAGGCACTCAGGTGCAAAGCTAAAGCTCTGTCATGAATTGTTGCGAGCTGCTTGACTGCTGCTGTATGCCTTGTGTGGTTCAGATTTGTTCGTGGTCTTCTCATCTTACCTGAAATTGTTCAGAATTCGAGGTTGTGCAGTAGCAGTATATAATCAGAGTTAGAGAGCGATCCCAACGAACCGATCGAGGAGCAGCACCCACTGCGACTTTTTCTGAAGCACAAGTAGGTTGTTCACATGTCATGGTCTTAAAAATTTATTTTCTAAAGGTAATTGCTTCCAGTACGCTAACTTCGGCATAAAGGTTGCGGAGCAGTCACTCATAGCCATCAGAGGAACCTCACTGTTCGAGTTTCGGTGAGCCCTCTTCCCCTTGTGAGGAGATACCAGTGGTGATCGGGGGCGATGTCGGTCGGTGGTACGAAGAAGACGGCGTGCGTCACCGGAGGGAACGGGTACATCGCTTCCGTGCTGGTCAAGATGCTGCTAGAGAAGGGATACGCCGTGAAGACCACCGTCAGGAATCCAGGTTCGGTTCCTTTCGTCCTCTTTGAGTTTAGGCCCCTTTGGATTACGGGATTTTTTCCTATTCCTGCGTTTTTCTTGTGAACAGTCAACTGATTCCTGTGAAATTCCTGTATAATTCCTGTGAAAATCTTGCGTTCCAAAGGGGGCCTTAGTGTTTTCTCACGCTGATGGATCCGAGCAAGGGAAATCTTCTGTCTGCGTATCTAGGAGGTGTTCGTTGCATGATGTCTACATTTTAGAGGGGTTTAAACTTTAGATAAGCTATATTAAATAAAGTTTAATTACAAAACTAACTACAGAACCCTGGTCTAATTCGCGAGATGAATCTAATAAGAGTAATTAAGCCATGATTATATGATGATTACTGTAACATCACTGTACCAAAACAAAGCTTAATTAGGCTTATTAAATTTGTCTCGAAATGAGCATTCATCTGTCAAAAAAATTTTGTCATTAAATTTTATTTAATGTTTTTAAATAACAAGATTCTTTTTGATGTGACATGCTCTAAATTTTAGAAGAGGTACGCCGAACCCACCCTAGTAGAATCGGAGAAATTTTCGTAGCAGTATATGTATACATAAGAGCTTACTGTCAGTCAGTTCAGTGAGAGTGAGAAAGTAAGGGCAGAGTCTGAAACTGAAAGATAAGCTTTACCACCACCAACTGCAGAGATGAGAAAGAAGTCAACGAATCCTAAATTGCATCTCCGATCTGAGCAATCGGTCGCACATGTACTTGTTGAACTGTTGCAAGCGTTATGATCCCTGCCCAAGATGAACCATTCAGATTAAGAAATCGGTAGGGATTGGTAATTTGGTGTATGCTCTGAATAGTGCTTTCTCTGGTCGTTCTGGTTCTGAAACCTCAGATGACATGTCGAAGAATTCCCACCTCAAGGACTTGCAGGCGCTCGGCCCCCTGGAGATCTTCCGCGCCGACTTGGACGTCGAGGGCAGCTTTGACGACGCCGTGGCTGGCTGTGACTACGCCTTCCTCGTCGCCGCTCCGGTGAACCTCAGGTGTGAGAATCCGGAGGTGCGCAGCCGTCATCACTTAATTCTGACATCACCATTACTGTGCTCTTTTGTTTCTTTGCGTGTCGTACGTGCTCCACACAGCTCAACTAGCTGACCTCACCTAACGAAGCCGGTGAGTGGTGATGGCAGCAAGAACTGATCGAGCCGGCGGTCCGAGGAACGCTTAACGTGTTGAGGTCGTGTGTGAAGGCGGGGACGGTGAAGCGCGTGATCCTGACCTCGTCGGGGGCCGCGGTCTCCCGGACACGGCTGCAAGGCGACGGCCACGTGCTCGACGAGGAGTCCTGGTCCGACGTCGAGTTCCTCAAAGCCAACAAGCCACCGATGTGGGTACGTGACCGCATTCGCGCGCGCCCATGTTCGTCAGTCCAAGCCCAGCTCCGGCCTTGCATTGCAAAGCCATGTTAATTCCTGTCTCTGCAGGGATACCCGGTCTCCAAGGTGCTCCTGGAGAAGGAAGCGAGCAGGTTCACGGAGGAGCACGGCATCAGCCTCGTCACCCTCTGCCCCGTCACCACCGTGGGCGCGGCGCCGGCCCCGAACGCCGTCATCAGCGTCCCCAACTGCCTCTCCCTCCTATCCGGCGACGAGGCCGAGTTCGCCGTGCTGCGAGGCATCGAGCGGGCGTCCGGCACGGTGGCGCTGGTTCACGTCGACGACGTCTGCCGCGCAGAGCTGTTCCTCGCCGAGGAGGCCGCCGCCGCAGGGAGGTACCTCTGCTGCAGCCTCAACACCACCGTCGTCCAGCTCGCGCGTTTCCTGACAGACAAGTACCCGCGGTACCCCGTCAAGACAAATCTGCTGTAAGAACACTGAACGCTCGTCTTCACTTCACAGCTTTGAATTCCGACACTTGCTTTGCACAGTTGCACTGATTCTTGCCGCGTTTGTTCTGGCGTTTTGTAGCTCCGGATCCGTCGAGCTGCTTGAGAAACCGAGAGTGTGCTTGTCGTCGGCGAAGCTGATCAGGGAAGGGTTCGAGTACGAGTACAAGACGCTGGACCAGATATACGATGACGTCGTGGAGTACGGCAAGGTCCTAGGGATTCTGCCCAACTGAGAATCAAAGCTTAAAGTTAAACATGGAACAAACCTAAAAGACATTGTATTTGTGAACAGATGGAGTATTTACAATCATTTCAGGCCAGAGAAACATGTGCATCTACTCTAGTACAAAACCATGAGATCGTTTATTAATCAAGTTGGAAAAAGTACAAAACCATGAGAGCACAAAGTAGAAATTGTGTGTTTTGAATTACTCTAGTACTCAGATACATAGAAGCTGAAAACAAGGATTAGCTTTTCCTTATTCATTGTTGCAATTGAAAATATTCTTTCTGTTTACCATACACTAGCAAATTTTGGGCAAAACAGATATTTCTTTTGCACATGATAAAATCTTTTGGTTGCTTGGTTTTGCACATGAGTAAAATTCATGGATCTGGCCTAAACGATGCCGATGTGTCATGGTCACTTTTGCATCTTGCCTCCCAAGTCCTAGGTGCGTCATACTTGATTGCAAGCATCTGAGCTTGATAAGGCACCACTGTGTTTGCAGCTTGCAGGCGTAGGCCCCTTTCAGTCCTTGCCCTTTGCCGTCCCCTACGTGCAGTGCTCGCGTAACCCTTGCTGCACTAACAACGCCGCCTTAGGCCTCGTTCGGTTAGGCCGTTCTGGGCCGGGAACATGGGCTCTTCCGCGCGGATCCGTCTGGCCATGTTTGGAGCCGGGCCGGACACGAAAGAGCCGTTTGGTTAGGCATGGCCTGAATCGTAAACGGACCCATTTTCATCTTTTCCTTCTCTCCGCAGCCCAGCTCGAAAACTGATGTCCTACCCTCCGGTAGTGCTGTCCAAACGGGCGGCACGGCACGGCCCGGCCCGAGCACGAAATGGCACGGCCCATTTAATTTCGGGCCGGCACGGCACGCAATTCATTTCGAGCCGTGCCGTGCCAGCCCACGTGCCTGAGCGACGGCCCACGGCACGGCCCGAAATTATATAATCGTGCCGGGCCGGCCCGTTAGGCACGGAAGCCCGTTTAACCCATTAGTGTAAATATGTAGCAAAATGAATGTTAAAATGTGGGGACTTGAGATTTGAACCCAGTACCTCATGGTCTAGAGTGAAGGGTCTTACCACTAGACCAGATTCCCTTCTTGATTCTATAAGAATTCAAAATATATTTACACTATTCTCTAATCGGCCTCGTGCTTTAATGGGCCATTAACGGGCTTTTGCGTGCCGCGGACTAAACGGGCCGTGCCCGTGCCGCCCGTCGTGTCATACCCTCGGCCCATGGCACGGCCCGACCCTCGTGCCGTGCCGGCCCAGGCCCGAAATTCATCGTGTCGTGCCGTGCTTGGGCCGGGCCAAACTTTGCGTGCTTCGTGCCCACCCGCTTAGCCCGGCCTATTTGGACAGCACTACCCTCCGGATCGGATCAACGCAGGATTGAGTGACAAGGCCGGATCCACTCATTCCGAGCCATGGATTGAATCAGACGCTGAACTAAACTGCCCTGCCGAACGAGCCCTTATCCTATCTCACGACCTAGACTCTCTGTTCACCAAGCGCTAGATCGGATTGAGAGAAGCTGGGGGTGGGGGTCGTTTGGCCAAAACTCATGGTGGATCCTATACATCGATTGACGGGAGGCAAGTGATAGATTACTTTGAGATTTGTATGAAGAGAAAATCAAACGGGCCGAACGAGTGCTGCAGGTGCTAGGAAGGTTCAGCCAAAGCGACACGTGTCACCTTACTATTGGTGCTGGATTGGTGAGGCATAATTGAGTGTGATTTCGAAACTTTCAACGCGATTTTCTCTCAAATTGCAACTCCGTTTTAAATCCGATTGAACCATTGTGTTGTTTAGAATTAATTCTACAAAATGAGATTCGATATGATTATTTTTTGAATTTTTTAAAATCCAAGTTTTCATCAACATTTTCAGTATACTGTGTCAACATTTTTGTTTCTACTGTGTCAACATTTTAGATATTGTATGCCAACATTTTTGTAAAAATGTTGACTCTACTTTTTTAAAAATGTTGATAAAGGTTTATAAAAATATTGACTAATGTTGAAAATATTTGAAAAACTATTTGAACAAATATGTTCGAAATGTTAAAGTTAAATCCATGATTTGAAATTCGAAAAAAAAAAGCTTGTTAACGCAGTGGGCTGCGATGTAGTTGTTATTAGGCTGTGGAGGTGTACTGATAGACGGTGACGAAAACACGTTGGTGGGTGGTGGACTGATCTACCGGACACTAATGAGGACTTCGCCTCACCATAGAGTAAGAATGAGTGTACAAAACATATACATTAGGTGTATTGTGAATATGAGCTATTTAACCATTCATAGAATGTTATTTTCTTACAAAAGAAAAAGGGAAAAAAAAAACAGCATGCTATTCTTATGTAGGTGGTGTGCAAATGAACGCATTCGATCCTTTTGTGAGCTCTAATATTGCAAAAGGAAGAAAGAGACCCCAAATAAAGCGAGATGACGTGTAGTTGAGACCGCGGTTATGGAAGTTTACATCAAATGGCTAGCACTTTAGCAATATACTTCATTACGAGAGATTGTTGCTATTTCTGAACTTTGGATTTATGGTTCTACTTCCAATTGGATCTCATTGGTGCTTATGATAATGTACAATTTATATGCATCTATCTATGGTTGGAAATTTCACATACATTGCATTTTTGTTATAAAAATGTAGAGCTCTCGTAATGCTACAAAGAAAACATATATACCATGATTGACCATTATATGATTGCAATGTTTTAAGATATCAATTGCTTGCTAGATATCTTTATCTGGAGCATAAAAAGTCAAATTTAGGTGACTTTGGACGTACTCCAGCACAGGTTACAGTTGTACGCGGACGCGCTCCACGCACTACCCGCTCCATGGGGATCCATGCACCACAACTTTCTTTATGGGCACCACGGACTACAACTTGCACTGACGAGTACTCCCTTCATTACAAAAATTCTAGTTGTTTTGAGATTGTCTTAAGTCAAATCTTTTTAAATTGATTGCAATTTTTTGTTAAATTTAAAAATGTGAAAATGACACGTATGATTTCATAAAAGTATATTTCAACTATATTTTATAAATATTTTATAGCAATAAGTATTAGTCAATGTTATGTTTTGTATACCGTGTCAATGTCTAATACGACTTGAGTTATGTAATTGAAGGGATTACAAGTTTACAGAAATGTATTGCTCTGCAGGTCTTTACTGCGATCATGAACATGTGCTGGGGTTGGATACAGGTTAATGGAAACTAGTAAGATGGCCCGCGCATATTGCGCTGCTAGACTTCAACTGTGAATATGCCGTGTTAGGGCTACGATGTTTTTCACACGTTGATAATGGTCTTTAATTAAAATATGTATCCATATGAAAGGTGAGAAATAGAATATTGGTATTAATTTTGTTCAGCAGGATATTTTTCCAACAATGACATATCATGCACTCTTTACAGATTAATTGTAAAAGTAAAAAAAAAAGATAACCAACTTTCTTAGAGGATGAAATGACATATGAAATACTAACTTTTAGGATCAACACCTTTAGAAAAGTTTAAAATTTTGCAAAATTAGGAATTCTAGTAATGGAGAAACAAACAACTAACTCTCAGACGAACCTACATTTGTTTTTAGAAAAAATAATAAAAGCTCAATTTTCAGAGGTATGAAGCAGTTAAGCTTTAATTAGCACTTTATGTGTACACGAGACGTCACACACAAACCCGCGCCGTCGATTCTAGGCTGAGCTATGGGTGAAGTTGCTGTAGCAGTTATCACGAGTGATTGATAAGAGTGAGTTTTCTGGTCGCATTTGGCCATAAAGACGACGCATAGCTGGCTTGTAACATGTACAGTAGAGCTTTTGCTATGCACTGATACGAGCATGCGAAAGAATGGTACAACTGCTCACATCTTGTGACAATTTCCTGTAGATATTTTGAGCAATTTTAAGTGCCACTGTATTCTTTGTAGCAGCAAGTTCAAAGTAGTGAATTTGTTTCTGCTATTAGAACTCTGCTGCTCGCTTAGGATGACAACAAAGATGTGATGTATTTATTGTGAAATCAGTTGGATTTAGTAGCATGCAACTACTAAGTTTTAATGCAATTTTGCACCTAATTTTGCAACTCTGGACATGCCATAGCATTAATGTTTTGCGTTGATGAATGCTTGTAGTTTGCAACTCAAAAGGAAATTAAGCATTCGCTCAGATGATTATTTTGAGTTTTTGAGGCCTGATGGACAGTTTCAAGCTGATTCATTTCTGAAGACGTTTCCACATTCCACATAATGAAACTGAACCAAGGTTGCTCAACAATTCAGAGCCTGCTTTCTTGGATATAATTTTTAATGTAATGCGCGTTTCACTTAACATTTTCACTCGTGCATATATGATTCAGGACTGAACATGTACTTGTCTGTCTAAACATGTACTTATTCACACACAAGCACCCTGCTCTGAACTCGAAGGCCGTTCCATAAAATAGCTTGCATAAAAAAAGTATATTTGATATTATCAAAAACCAAATCATTTCGACAACGCCAAATCGCCCGACATAGGGCAATTGTCCCTACTAGTATGATTTTATTTTCTTTTATGTCTACCCCAGTATACATACATTTTGCATTGTTTTAATTTGGTTTTTATAAAAACTTACGTGCATCACAAAGTGAAAACTCTGCTGCAAAGAATTTTCTTCCGGGATCTGAATCCTTGCAATTACTTCGAGATCTAAAAACTCATCGAGAGCAGACTTGTTGTCCATGACCTGCGAAGGTTGCCTCGATAAACCCTTTTTTTTTTCTCAATGAATAACGAGCGTGGTTAACTGCGTTTTAAGAATGACCCTAGGCTCCCATCTTCGTCATAGCACCACACTGATAATACGTAGGCGACGGATGTCAACCGCTCGTCTGTTCCGTCCGATGAAATTGACCTGCCGGTGGGCGCCTCGTCCAACGTACAACTGCCCCTCTCCAGATGCCGACGGCTGAGCCCGTGCACCAAACAATCCATCATCAAGCGTCACCTACCGCATCTTTTGTTAACACTTGTCAGCTCCTGCACGTTCGCTTTATTGCTTGCCTTCTCGACAGTATATATAGTGTAGCGTCAGGGACGTCACAGCCACCAGTTCTCCAGTGGATTCTCCCGCGGCTTCGAGTCTTAGGGAGTTTTCTTCCAGTCGATTGTCGAGGGACTGAGTGGTGTTGGTCGGCGACGATGTCGGCCGGTGGCGAGAAGAAGACGGCGTGCGTGACCGGAGGGAACGGGTACATCGCCTCCGCGCTGATCAAGATGCTGCTGGAGAAGGGATACGCCGTGAAGACGACGGTCAGGAACCCCAGTAAGATTCTTCCCGATCGATATTTCGGTTCAGGTTTTCTGACAGAGATTGGTTCAGTTTCTGAAGGATGTGCTATTTGTTTTTTGTGATCCTGAATCGCAGATGACATGAACAAGAACTCCCACTTCAAGGAGTTACAGGCGCTTGGCCCCTTGGAGGTCATCGGCGCCGACTTGAACGAGGAAGGCAGCTTCGACGACGCCGTGGCCGGCTGCGACTACGCTTTCCTCGTCGCCGCTCCGGTGAACCTCCACGCCAAGGATCCTGAGGTGCGCGAACGTTCCCACCAGCCATTTCAGTTCAGTTCTTTTTGCGACGGCTGCGTAATGTGATTTTTCACGTGCTCAAAAAAATCTGTGGTGGCAGAAAGAACTGATCGAGGCGGCTGTCCGGGGAACTCTCAACGTGCTGAGGTCGTGCGTGAAGGCGGGGACGGTGAAGCGCGTGGTCCTGACCTCCTCGGCGGCCGCCGTCTCGAGCAGGCCGTTGCAGGGCGACGGGCACGTGCTGGACGAGTCCTCTTGGTCCGACGTCGAGTACCTCAGAGCCCACAAGTCCGGTCCCTGGGTAATGCTCTGCACATTGCACACGCACATCGTGTTGTTCACCAAACGTAATGCTCCCCGGGCATAGCACGCGTAACTAGTCACTACTTGCTGACGATCGATGACTGCATTGCAAATTCGCGTCGCAGGCGTACCCGGTCTCGAAGGTGCTCTTGGAGAAGGTGGCGAGCAAGTTCGCCGAAGAGCACGGCATC